CAACTTAGAAATATGCAGCATAGATTCTGTCGATAAAAATTGTACGGCCCCACACAGTGAACCAACTCTCCTAGCGGCAGAACTATCAATGGATTCTATATAATTTTTCCACGTCATGTCAGCAGAGAATGTTACCCTGAGAAGGTGCAACGAGTCATTCTCCTGGAGGTTAGCATCAGCCATGGTAATAGAAGGCAGAAATTGGTCTCTCAGTGTGTTATGAAAAATAACTTAAAAGGGTGTATAGCAGAAAAAAAATCCTCATTTAAGAAAGATAGGAAAAGAAGATCGATGTAGTAAAAAAAAAAATTAATATGAGATGCTGGAAAATAGTAAAATGTATTTTTGTGATGAATGCAAAATGGTAACATTCTAATGCAGGGGAATATGCAATAAGACCTTCTGGAGGAAAAAACAATGCAAGAGATACCGCAGAGAAAGTTAAATTTGGTGATGAACACATAATGGTATGGGATTGTATTAAAAATGGTGGTTGGAGAAAATTGGTAAAAGTTAATGGAAATCTAAACAATGAAAAGTTAATGGAAACCTAAACAGCGAAAAAGTTAATAGAAACCTAAACAGCGAAAAAGTTAATAGAAACCTAAACAGTGAAAAGGTTAATTGAAATCTAAACAGTGAAAACGTTAATGGAAATCTAAACAGTGAAAAAGTTAATGGAAATCTAAACAGTGAAAAGGTTAATGAAAACCTAAACAGCGAAAAAGTTAATGGAAACCTAAACAGTGAAAAAGTTAATGGAAACTTAAACAGTGAAAAGGTTAATTGAAATCTAAACAGTGAAAACGTTAATGGAAATCTAAACAGTGAAAAAGTTAATGGAAATCTAAACAGTGAAAAGGTTAATGAAAACCTAAACAATGAAAAACTTAGTGGAAACCTAAACAGAGCAACAGTTAATGGAAACCTAAACAGTGAAAAGGTTACTTGAAATCTAAACAGTGAAAACGTTAATGGAAATCTAAACAATGAAAAAGTTAATGGAAATCTAAACAGTGAAAAAGTATTCGTTTACTACAGTCTAATCTTCTGTCAGATGAAGATAGAGAAATTTTTCAGTATAATGGTGCTCCTTGCTACACATCCCGTGCAACAAAAAGGTGTTTTTCTGTGGTTACAGTTGTTCATGAAATAGTGCCCAACACAAAGTCCTGATCTCAATATAATTGAAACATTGTGGTGAGAACTGAAGAAATAAGTGCTCCAACGAAAACCACACAATCTCCAAGAGTTTTCTGGATTACTGCTAAGAAGAATGCGAAATAATCCCTAATGAGATAATCGAGTTTTTGCCTTATCTAATGCAAAATCGAATCGAGGCAACAAAATCAACAACACGAATAACTAACTCCATAATTTTGCGTTTTGCTCTTTAGTTATGTGCCATGCGTGATACATGCTTAGGCGATCATTTTCCCGCAGTAAGTTGCCATTTCTTTCTGCGGTAGACCAGTTGCCATCCAAGACACGGTCTGTCCTGCTTTTTACCCATAGCTGGGTGGAAGAAAAAGAGGATTCATAATTTTCCCAAGGGTATTAGCAAGTAAGTGAATATCAGTCAGTTATGTGCCATGCGTGATACACGCTTAGGCGGTCATGTATCTTTTGATACATGACTGACGAGGCAAATTTTCTTACCGCAGTTGGTTGCCATTTCTTTCTGCGGTAGACCAGTTAACATCCGATGCTCTAGAACACGGTCTGTCCGACTATTTACTCATAGCTAGGGGGGAGAAGAAGAATTCTTTTCTGTTTCTTAGACACTTCTGTTATTTATTTTGCATTTGACCATGGCTACCCACTCCACAGTCTTTTATGCCAAGATCATCTCCTTGCCATCAAGCATGGAAAAGTCATCTCTCAAGTAAGACCTTAATTCACTTCCCTTTTCCATATCTCCTCGTAACTATCAGTTTCGCTGCCTGAACAAACTATAACTTCATTCGTGTTCCTTTAAATATATAGTCAGATGGTGCTTAATTATCAAGCGTTTTTTAAACAATATTTAACATGAAAAAAAAACATAACAATTCAACAGTAACATTTTTAATTGATTATTCCGGAGCGATTATTGGCACGCATTTTTATAACCTGAAAATAAAATAATATTTATATTTAAAAAATAAACAAAAACAGTAATTTTTATTAACAAATAACTCGCCTCTAAAAATGCCTAATAATTATACACCAACCCAATAGGGATTTTTCTCAACCTATATATATATATATATATATATATATATATATATATATATATATATATATATATATGTCATTGTCTGTTTTCACTCATGAACAAAGTGTTACTATGTCGTGGGTATAGTAATGCTATATTGGGTTAATAAGATAAACGTATTTCCCTCAGTTTTTCTAATAAAACCATTATGGAAGTGGTAATGACCTTAGCATTTAGATCACGACTTGAGATTAAAGACAGGTAAGTCCGTTTTGTTTAATAATGATAATTAAATAACTTGTTCGAGTACAACATTTTATTATGACTCTTGAAACAGGCATATTAAAAAAAAGTATATATTAACATACCAATATAAATATACAAAAGCAAAATAGTTGAAAAGCTGAATGAAGTTGGCTAGGCTATAGTCTAGACCCATTGAACGTCAAAAATTTAAAATTTAGCGTCCTTATATCTTCAACTTTCCTGTCAATGTATAATTACAACCGAAGTTTTTGCTTATATTTTCGCTGTCTCCCTATATACAAGCTGAGGCCAAAACCAGGCATACATTTTACGGCTTGTTTGTTTCTTAAATTTTATTTAATTTACCTATTACAATTTCATTTGTTTAACACTGTTTCATCTCGTAATTGCTCGAAATGCTTCCCGCCTTCAACATTAAAAAATTCCTCGAACCTCCTCAGAAAACTGACACACAGTGCGACACAAATTCCGATCAGTGTCAATAAATGCTTCCAAGATGAACGCTTTTAATTCCTCTGCCGTGTGAGGATTTTTTCTCATAGACCTTATTCTTCACTATGTCCACCTTCCAAAAAAAAGTCTGTTGGTGTTAAGTCGGGTGAACGTGATGGAAATTCAATGCTGCCACGTCCACCGATCCAAAGTCGTAGGGAGGTTTGGTCAAGGTAGTCTCTTACTGCCAAAACATAATGAGGATGTGTCCCATCTTAGCTCTGCTTCTGAATTGTGGCATTACCACGTCGCGAAGCATGTTTAAGAAACTGTTACTATTCACAGTCCCATCAATTAAATAACTGTATACCTACTTTGGGCCTACCATGCAGTTCCATTAACAAGAACACCATTTTAATCTGACGAAGTTCTTTTGCAGTCCGAAATGCGTTACAAAGATTTTTTTTCAATTTTGTCATTCAATTTCCCACTATATATTTGTATGTATTTTATAATAATATATACTTTTTAATATTCTTGTTTTAAAGCCAGAAAAAAATTAAAAAACGAACCCACCTTGCTTCGATTTTTTACCTATCGAATATGAATTAGAAGCCATAGCAACTGTACCAAATGTACCGCGCACTGCTGATGAGACCCAAATATAGGAAGAAACGGCTGTCCAGAGCTTTCTGCATTCTGTTGAGGTTTCTTCGAGACTCGATGATTTACTTAATTATGATTATTTCAAATCCTCCTAATTATTTCTACCTGTATATCCTTACCGGCTTCTAATGCTCTGGATGGAGCGGCTTGGGGAGAGTAGTCGTGGCTCGTTGGGGTACAAGTCCTATGATTTAAAGCGAAACTCGGATGAGTTCCACCACGGAATATGTGATCGAGCGGCGGTATATCGAGTCAAATTTGTTACCTCTTCGTCACCGAGGCCTGTTGGTATAGTGTCTGCCTCTTGTCGTAACGGTTCGGGTTTCAATTCTCGGTAGTGGATGCGCACTGCTGATGAGTCCCAATTATAGGAACGAAACAGCCGTCCAGTGCTTTCTGCATTCTGTTGAGGTTTCTTCTAGACTCGAATAATTACTTAATTATGATTATATTATCATAATAGTGTATGATATATATAATGCGATGATTATTATGATATATTAACTATGATAATTATTATATTATTATGATAATTATTATATTATACGATATTATTATAGGATAAATTATTAGTCCCTTTATTGTCTTTGTATTCATTTATATTAAATATTGCCAACGAATATCTTTGACAAAGCGTTGGCCGAAAGGTGCCTTAGATATGACGTCCACTTTCTTCAAATCTATATCAGTTCCTCGGGTACAAAGCTCTGTTTATATATATATATATATATATATATATATATATATATATATATATATAATTCTGTAATCATCCTGATCGGTTACTATATTATCCAATTGTAAATTCAGTGCAACAACCCCACCACGCCACAATGCACGCATTTTTAAGAGAAAGAGTAGATAGATTCAAGTGTCTGTTTAACGTTTTAATTCTTCTGCTCCCCATGTCACCAGGGCCGGTTTTCCCTCGGAAATTGCATTAATGGCATTTCGGAGTCAAAGAATACCATTTCTGGGGTTTATAGATAAATAAATAAATAAATAAATGCTGCATTAAAAATGTTATAAGGCAACTAACAACCCGACCTAAAGAAAAAAACTTCGCTATGATAAACACTGGTTTTCAAGAGGAAAGCGAAGTGCATATCGTTGGCTATTCTTAATCATTTTTTTTTTTTTTATATGTAATCTTCGTCTTAATTCTTTTAGCACGCGCTGTTCGGGAAGATTTCGGCTTTTCTTCTTTTTCTTTTCTTTTTTTTTGTTTGGTCTTTCTTTTATTTTTATTTTTTTCAAAAGTTCCCTCATGACTTTCTGGCGAAAGATTTACAGTTTCACTAAGTGGATATTAATGGTAATATAAAGAAAATAGAATGAATGCTTATTTTTGAAAATCAGGACTTTATTATTTTTTTTTTTTTTTCATTCGAAAGTTGGCGCTAATTAATGCGAGGCTGAAATATCATATGCCATAAACCTTTAGGCCTCTCTCTATCTCCTCCCCTAAGGTGTGCGGGCTGTTTGAGGATTTGAAGAAAGAACGAAGAAAAAAAAGATGGAAAGAAAGAATGAAAAACAATGTGAAAGAAAAACGAAAAGATAAAATTTGTTGACAAGGAGTGAAGAAAAGAAAGAAAGGAGAAACAATAATAATAAAAAGATTGAATTAATAAAATGCTGAGAGGAAAAATGAGTGAAAGAAAATTTTTTGAATGAATGAATGAAAAATTGAAGGAATAAGGAAATGAAAGAATGAATGAAAGTTTGACAGAGAGAAGACGACGAAAAAGAAAGAATAAAAGGAAGATTAAAATAATGAACGTTTTTGAAAAATGAATAAGTGTAGAAAAAAAATGAAATATGGGTGAATAAAAGATAGAAAGGAAAGAAGATAAAAGTCGTGTACAAAAGGAAGAAAGAAAAGTTAGCAGATGGAAAGAATGAAAAATATTGAAAGAATGAAATTTGAAAAAAGAATAAATAAAAAAAAGTAAAAAAAATAGATGATCGGAAAGAATTAAATCAAGGAATGAAAGAACGAGTGAATGAAAAACGGATGAAAAATAAACAGATGTGGAAAAAGAAATTAAAGAAAGCTTGAAAGAAAAGAATAGATATAAAAAAAAGAACGCTTAAATGAAGGAATGAAATCATAGACGAAAGAGAGAATGAATATGTGGATGACTGAAAGAACGAAAGAAAAATTGACAGATTGGAAAAGAATAAGAGTTTGAAAGAAAAGAATCATCGTAAAATAAGCAATTAATTAGTGACTGAATATAGAAAGAATGAAAGCATGGATGAAATAACTAAAGAATGAATAAATGAATGAATGAATGAAAAACTGAAATAATGAAAGTTCGAGACTAAAAATATAAAGAGTGAGTTGAGGAAAGAAAGAATGAATGAACGGAAAAAATGGAAAGATGGATAGATAATAGAAAAAAGAAAAAGAAAGATGAAAATTTTAAGGAAGGAATAAGTATAGATTGAATGATTAAATGAATAAATAAAATTTTGAAAAATAAATAAATGAATGAAAAGCATAAAGAATTAACTTAAAAACGCTATGGATGAAGAAAAAAAGACGATTTTGAACAAAGAAAACAAAAAACTAAAAAAAAAAAATAGAGATAAATAAAAGAGAAAGAATGAGCAGATCAGATAACAAACTTAACCAAGCAGCGAAAGAAATCAAAATTGGTTTCTTTATCTAAAATGCGAGTCGAATCTGCCAAAATATTTGGATTGTAATGGCCGATGTTTTGTTGACGATGTTACGGGGCGGGAAGAATTCACGAATCTCTAATGGGCGTTTTATGTCACATTCGCAATTGATAAATATCGCTTCGAAACGCTGAATTGCGACGCCGCATCAAGCGATGGGCGCCGCTGTCCTTGGGAAGAATTGAACAAACCAGACGATAGCATCGCTTTTTCCGTTTTTGCTGGATCATCCAATATTTCCGACGACTTTGGCAAATATGCAATTGTTTACTGGTGGTGCGTGTCCACAAATATGAATAAGGTTGTGCACAACTGTGTGTGTATAATTAAAAAGATTTATTTTCATGTATGAGAATGTCCATGTTTGCCATTGTGTGTGTTTCAATACACACTAGCACGAGTTGGTTTTTGTCTAAGATATAGCGGACAATGAAAGTAAAGTGTCCTTCTTTTTTTTTTCTACTTCTTCTTCGTCTTCTTTGTGACGTACCCCTTCAGGGTGTGGACGACCATGGCTCTCCACAGTTTCCTTCTCTTCTAGCACTAAGCAAGCTTTGTCCTCCACCCTACAATTATTTTACGGAAAATCGTTGTACTAATGTCTAATTTTTCGAAGACATCTTTTGCTCATCAAATGCTTATTTTCTGGAAGGCTCTTCGCCCTTCTAATGCTTAGTTTCTGGAAATAACTGCCGCTCTTCTAATGCTTAGTTTCTGGAAGGCATCTTTCTTACTTCGAATGTTTAATTTCTTGAAGACACTTTCGCACTTCTAATGCTTAGTTTCTGGAAATGATCTTTCGCTCTTCTAATGCTTAGTTTCTGGATGGCACTTTCGCTCTTCTAATGCTTAGTTTCTAGACGGCAACCTTCGCGCTTCTAATGCTTAGTTTCTGGAAGTCATCTGTCGCACTTCTGATGCTTAGTTTCTGGAAGGCAAGTTTCTTTCTTCTAATGTTTAGTTTCTGGAATCTTTCTTTCTTCCTTCTATTGCTTAGTTTCTGGAAGGCATTTTCGCTCTTCTAATGCATAGTTTCTGGAAGGCATCTGTCGCTCTTTTAATGCTTGGTTTCTGGAAATGATCCTTCGCGCTTCGAATGCTTAGTCTCTGGAAGGAAACCTTCGTGCTTCGAATGCTTAGTTTCTGGAAGTCATCTTTCGCCCTTCTAATTCTTAGTTTCTGGAAAGCATATTTCGCGCTTCTAGTGCTTAGTTTCTGGAAGGCATCTTTCGCGCTTTAGCACAAAAACCCAGCAACTCCTGACTGAAGTTATTTCAAGGTATTTCTAACTTCTTTCCCATAAGCCTTTATTGTTTTTCCTTTTTAGCCATTGATCAAATCACTAAAATTAAAACCTTTTTTGTTTCCTGTAAAACTTAGTTGATCTTACGTTCTTGTCTCTATCTTATTTCTTTTGTTGCACACACGACACTACTATAAGCGACAAAAAAAGGAATGTTAAAAGGGGTTAAGAGAATCTATTTTTATGAATAAAACTTCTCAGAGTTCTGAGTTATTTAGATAAAAGACTTCAAAGAACTCTTTGGTGTGATCACATGACCTTACAAGTGGAGGTCTTTCATCCAGGTATTCGTATTCGTTGAGTGAGTTGGCTGGCAAAATCTGTTGTTGTTGAAATCTGCTTCAGAGCAATCTGTTTACTACCATTTGCTGACCTGTCATCTTACTTATTATAAAACGCAGATTGTGTGTGTGTGTGTGTGTGTGTGTGTGTGTGTGTGTGTGTGTGTGTGTGTGTGTGTGTGTACGTTTATATATTGGATCGGATTTCCTACATTTTTCAACCGATTTCAACAAAACTTCACAGGACTACGTAAAATTACCTTGCGGTGGTTCTGACAGCGCCAAAAATTGGAAAAACACAATTGTTTTTGCACGAAATCAATTTGAAAACACAATTAAGAGGCATCACGAGAATGAAAGGGGGACAACTCATATCGAGTTATACTTATTTTAAAACCAATTTTTTTGTGTGTGTGTGTGTGTGTGTGTGTGTTCGTTTATATATGGGATCGGATTTCCGACATTTTTCAACCAATTTCAACAAAACGTCACTCTTTTTTTTTTTTTGGTAGGTAGTGTTTCTTATTGTCTTGCACATTTTTTCTTTATTTTTACATTCAGAATGCTTTAAAAATTACATTTACAAGACAATTGTTTATAATAAAATTCTATTCAATCGGTAGACTCATACCGATTGAAAACAATGTTTTTGTTTGAGTTTGGGTCTGACCAATTCGTAAAAAAAAAAAAAAGAACAACTAATTAAGACATGCGTGTCCGTCAACCTTAAACAATAATCTTTGTCAATTTTATTTTTCAGTCTTTATGATGGTCGATACTTGATCTATCTCTTACTGTTACATCCCCGGGCAACGCCGGGCTCTACTGCTAGTATAAACTATAGCACAAAAACACGGCAATTTCAGACTAAAGTTATTTCAAGGTATTTCTAACTTCTTGCCGGTAAGCCTTTTATGTTTTTCCTTTTAGCCACTGACTAAATCACTAAAATTTTAATAATTTTTTTTGTTTGCAATAAAACTTAGTTGGTTCTATGCTATCACCCCTTTGGGTACCTCGACGTGGTGTAATGGTTAGACAGCTTATCTTGCTAGATCAATTACGACAAAGTAGTGAGTTCGATCCTCACTGGGTGCCCCATACTTTCGGCCTTGTGCTGCATCTAAGCCGAGCTTAGAAAATCACTATGCCGTTCCACTGACTTTATTGTATTTTTTTTTTGTCTCACACGTGACAAGGGGCATTATATATTTCCATCTCCAGTGGTTCGAAAAAAAGCTCCGCTTGAGATTGCCTGGTAGATCATCTTTCATCGTCTCGAAAAGGACCTCCAATCGGTTGTGAACTGGGGCAGGAATTGGCTGGTCAACTTTAATGCTTCAAAAACAAAACTGCTCTCTATTAATCACCACAGAGATCATTCCCTGCCCTCCATTAGAATGTCTGACGCTCAACTTCTCAAGAGCACCTCTCTGAGGCTGCTCGGGCTCACGTTGACGGCTGACCCGAGATGGAACAAATACATTGAGTCAATTGCTTCGTCCACCGCAAGGAAAGTTGGCTCCCTGTGCCGCGCCAGGAAATTTTTCTCCCCGGAATCGATCCTCCAGATCTAAAAATCAACAATTCGCCCTTCCATGGAGTATTGCTGCCATATATGGTCTGGTGCCCCTTCTGTTTGCCTCGGGGTTCTTGATAGGCTCCAGAGGCGGATATGCAATATAATTGGCCCTGCTCTGGCATCTCGTCTACAGTCACTTTCTCACAGACGCGCCGTCGCCTCTCTCTGTCTGTTCTACAAATACTTTCATGGCAATTGCTCTGAGGTTCCCAGACTTCATGAGTTCAAGCGCCCTACAAGACTGGCATCCCGCTCTCACCCCTTCACTGTCGAAACTCCTAAATGTAGCCGTCTCTTCTACTCCAATAGCTTCATGTCTCGCACCTCTCGCCTGTGGAACTCAATTCCCTATTCCATTTTCCCTGAGATCTATAATCTCCAGCTATTCAAATGTAATGTCAATCGACATCTCCAGTTCCCTTGATCTATCCACTACCCTTCTCCTCATCCTTTCCTCTATCGCTCCTATCTGATCTTGCTCCAAATTTTCTGTAACCCCTTGCGTCCTAGTGGCTTCCCGTCTTGTTTGGGGTGAAACGCCTTAAAAAAAAATCTTGCCGTATTCCCTTGAGGATGTAGAGGATCCTGTCCATCGAGGCTTGTAATATGTTTTGTCTTTTTGTTATTTCTGCCATCCATTTTCATATTAAGTATGTCACGTGCTGCTTTCCCCTGCCACTCTTACCCCCTATCCGTCCTGTGAGTATCAGATTTTCCAAGCCCTCCTTCCTCATTACGTGTCCCAGAACTTTCAACTGCCTCTTCTAAGTATGTTAAGTATGTTTCCTCTTTGTTTCTACTCTCTCCAAAGCCTCATCATTTCTCACATGTTTAGTTCATGGTATCCTCAACATCCTCCTGTAGAACCACATTTCTGTTACTTCGAGTCTCTTCTTCATCTTTGAGGAGATCTCCAGCATCAGCAGCCGTACAGGAGGACAAATATCATTTAACAGTTCAGTACTCTTTTCTTTGTTTTCAACGAAATTTTCCTGTCTCTTAATACTCTGCTTAGGTTTTGAATGGCATCTTTGGCCCTCCTAATACGTCTTCGCATTTTCCGTCTTCTGTTAGAACACTTCCCCAGTAGGTCAGATTACATCCATTTTATTCAATGTGGCCCAGGCAAATATTTCACATCCTTCTCAGTAGAATTAATTTCACTTCCTAAGAATGTTAAAGAATCGACATATTTTATTGATTCACCTGAGATAGTTTGTCTTGAGCCTTGCTGACTACATTTTTGCATTCATTTTTTTTTCAAATCACGTCATTTTTTTCTTTTATCATTGATTTCAAAAAATAGTTATCATTTTATTTACACTCTGTGTTTTAATGACTCAATAACGATGCTATGAATAAATTTGTCTAAAAGATTTTGTAAGCAATATGCTGAAGACTTTTGTCGCAACCAAATAAATTGTATGTAATCTGTTTATTTTATTTATTTACTTCCTACAAAAATATTCGAGTAATTTGATGACTGAATAATGATGCTATGAATAAAAGATTTTGCCCACCAAATACTGAATACTTTTACATTGACTTAATAAGGTCATCTGCTTTTATATTTTTTTTTTATTTTTTTTTTTTATTTTTTTTTTTTTATTTTATTCATTCATTTCTACACTAATGTTCGAGTAATTATTTTTAT